TGAGGTCTCCCCTCAGTCTCCTCTGCTCCAGCTGAACACACCAAGTGCCCTCAGTGTCCTCACACGGCTTCAAATCAAGGCCCTTCCCCATCCTCATTCCCTCCTCCTTTGGACACTCTCCAATAGCTTAATATCTTTCTTAGAAATGCTGCCAAACCCATCTGAAGTAACTCAGACTACACCAAAAGTACATCTGAGCCTCTCTGCCCTCTCACTCAGCCTCACTGTGCCAGTCCTGGCACTTGCAGTTTGTTTTCCAAGCTTTGGCAGTAGAAAAGTTGAACACACCCCCCCCCGCTTTTCCAATGGGATGAAAGAGCTTTTGCCTTTGTTCAGAAGATCCTCAGAGCACATATCTTCTGCTCACCGGAAGGTGCAGATCCCTGTGCTCTGTTGTCCAAGCCTGTGTGGGTAACTGAGGCTGAGAACCTCGTGGACCCACAGCCTGAAGTCACCACCAGCAGGAAAACTCTTGATATAGTCCAAGTACTGAGTATAAAAGACACACAGGGCTTTGAAGGTGGAAGCACATGGAAGGTTACAATGAGGGGTAAGCACAAGTGTGTTTTTCCATCCCTTGGAAAAGTGCCAGTGCTCTGCCAGAAACCTTGGTCCTTTCAGTGCCTGTTGCATCAGTTCAATGCACAAAGGCCTGCACAGAGGAGCTCTAAAAGCTCAGCAATGCCACTGTGTACCAACACTGACTTAATGCCATGAAAGCACTTCCTAAAAATGTCTTTCATCCCTATGAGGCTTCGGGTCAGCAGAAAACTAAGATATGATCCATGATCTCACATTACAGGCTACTGCCCTTCACACATTCTCTCTCCAGAACAAAAATACAGGGAAAAAAAGCCACCATCAGAATCATCCACGTGGGAAAATACTTAAGACACATGAGTTCCTACATGAAGGAAACACAGTAATGGAGAGCAAAAGAGTAAACAGCAAGTCCCATCTGCTTTGAAATCATCAAAGGAAAAGGATTATCTGTTCCCTTCCCTTCCACGCCTTCCTCCAAGCACAGAAAATGTGCTTTCTTCAGTCCTGCCTTTCTGGGCTGGCTCCCCTCACATCTCCATTTCCCCAAAGTCTCTTTTCTCATTTATGCTGAAGTGGGAATAAAAAGAATAAAGCAAATGAGCCCCTTCCTCAATTCAAAGCATCTGCATCACACTCAGCCATAACTCAGCAACTTCCATTTCATGCTGAGCCACTCGGAGAAAAAAACAGGACTTTATGGAGACAACAATTCTCCTGAATGGTTTTAAGGAGACAGAGACAGGGACTTTTTTGACAGATCAAACTCCACAAGGACAGCACTGGCATCTCAGGTGGCTTTGTCAGCAGGGAAGTCATTTTAAATTAAAACAATTAAAACAACTTCCACATTGGAGTTTTTATCTCAACGGAAGGAAAAGAGGAAAAATCCTCTTGGGAACTGTTTGAGCAGCTCAAAGGAGAGTGTGGCTCCAGTGGAACAGGGAAGGGCTGTAAGAGGCAGCAAAGGGTTCAAACCTGAGAGACTCCTTCGTCCACTGGGCTCTTGAGGAAGTCCCCAAGGAGCCAGAGCCACGTCCTGCTCCTCCTGAGGGGCTGCTGGATGGCAGGAGGTGAGGGATGATGTGCTGGGAGCACAGAGGTCACCACACACCTGGGTCCGAGGTGACCGTGGAGAGATGGTGGGAAGATGCTCCTGATGTGGGTGCATCTACAGGGGCTACACAACCAGCAATTCCATCCAAACCAAGCACTGCCACGGAGTCTGGAGACTCCTTTCTCTGCTGCACCCCGTGGTCCTCTTCCCACACACACTCGGGCATCCTTTGCTGACTGGACCATCCTTCAGAGCACACCCACACCATTCCTGTTTATTTAGGAGGCAATCTGTGAATGTTTGATCTTTGCCATGGCACGAGCTGCTTCCTGGGAAAATTTGCAGAGAGAAACCCCACTGAAAACACCAGCAGGTTCTATTTCAATTCTGCCTTTTGTTCTCCATCTGTCCATATTGATCTTCCCTGAAGGGCAAGTCCAAGGAACTACAATCCAATAGACCTGTTGCTTTATTAAAAAAACCATCTGCCAGCTGCAATGACTTATGGTATCTATTGCAAACTATTTTATCACCTACACAGCTCGCTGGGAAATGGGCCTGCCAGAGAAACTGAGCCACCTGATGCCACTGAAAATAAGCAGTGCATGGCCATCAGCCCAAATGCTCAGTGCTCCACACCCAAATCCTGCCCAAACCTCTCCAGACCCTGTTGAAGCTCCCAGGACTAAAGGTGGGAAGTGCCTGTTGACACGCAGAGAAAGGAGTAAAGACCAACAGCATCAGAGAAGCTCAAGGAACTCCCAAAAGCAGCAAATTCCTTACTCAGCAATGCCCAGATGGTCCTGGGGGCCACACCCCCTCTACACCCCTAAAGAAAACAGAGTGGTGTTTGCCAGCTGGGTGGGAAAAGCCACCCGATAAGAGCTGTTCTGAGACACCCCAAGGGCTGCAGGACACAGCACCCAGGGCTGGGAGTGCTCCAGTGCCATGGGAGACACCAGCCCCCCTCATCCCACATTTTCACCTGCCTGAGACACCAAAGCCACCCCGGGGGGGGTTTCTGCTGCAGGAGCTCACTAAAGCAGCTCCTTCAACAGGCAATAAATACAGACAGACATTTTTGCAGGGAGACTCAGAGCCAGGTGAGTCTCTGAAGCTTTTTACCTGCAACTGTACAAGAGGAAACTGTGAAAGGAGAGCAGGTGAATGAATCAGTTCTCACAGAGGGTCACAGGCAAAGCTGGTCCCACTTGGGGCATTTCACAGAATCCCAGGATGTGCTGAGCTGGGAGGGACCCCCAAGGATCATCAGTCCAACCCTCAGCCCTGCACAGGCCCAGCCCCAAGAGTCACCCCCTGTGCCCCAGAGGATCAGCCAAACCCTCCCTGAGCTCTGGCAGCCTTGGGGCTGTGCCCACTGCCCTGGGGAGCCTGGGCAGTGCCCAACCAGCCTCTGGGGGAAGAACCTTTGCCTGAGATCCAACCTGAGCCTGCCCTGACACAGCTCCAGCCATTCCTTCGGGTCAAGCCTCTGGTTCATTTGGTTCAGTGAAACCTAAACAGAATCACAGAATATCCTGAGTCAGAAGGGACCCACAAGGACCATCCAGTCCAACTCCTGCCCCTGCACAGGACACCCCAAGAAGTTCAGGTTTGCTGCTCTCCTCCATGCCCTGGGAACCCCAAAAGCCTCAGACCTGAACACCAGTGGAGAGCACCAGGTGAGCTGCACTTAAACAACCCATCTCCAGCTGGAACAACTCGGCACTGGGGTTGGACCAGAGCCTGGGAAAGGCTGAGATGTGACTCAGCTCCTTGCAATTCTCCCTCTGAACAGAAACACCCCGAGCCAGCTCCTGGGGGAGGGAGAGCACACCAACCACTGCTGCTGCTGTTGAAAGGAGCTGCAAAACAAGAAAGTGATCCATCAAGTCTCAGCTAACACATTACTCCGAGGTAAATTACAACCCCGAGCGTGTCTCCCCGAATGTAGCCAGCTCCTTTAGCAGCCTTTTATCCAAAGGGTTGCTTTTATACTTTTCAAAGAGATATTATCCCAGATTAAAAGCACTAAAAGGCAGACGACAAAAGCAACAACAACAAAAAAAAGCAGGTGATGATTAAGCAACAGGCTCAGACAAAGTGTGCAGCTGGGAGATAACAGAGCATCTCAGGGGCATGTGGCTGCATCCCTCCACCAGCCCAGGAGCCACGTTATCACTCCCAAACACAACCTGCACACTGGCTTTGTAATCACACCCCTGCAACAGGCACAAATAAAAGCAGCCTCCAAAAAAGTCTCTATGAAGTGTAATGTGCAGCTCAGGGGGGAAGGGGGTTCAGACTGCAACTCCCCAAGCTTTCTCCTTTAAGGAGAGATTTTTTTTCCCCCCCTGTTACCATACACTGGCATCTTTTATCTATTTACAGCTCAGACATAAAGCAGCAGAATGCCTGCGTTCATTAACTTTAATCTCTCACTGCACACTTTTATGTTGTGCAGTGATGTTGTACACACCACACGACAACAAAGCTGAGGGCAAGGAGTGCCTAAGGAGTCCTGAGGAGCAGTTTGTTCCAGTCTGAAAACCACACACCAGACTCTGCTTGTGGCTGTGGAACTGGGCAGGGTTTACCTGAAGGGCACAGAGCAACCAGGTGGTGGCTTTTGCTCTACCCAGGGGGTTAATTTTAAAACCTGAAGCTGACTTGGGAATCCCAGGAGTCTTTTAAATATTTGGTGCTTTGTTGTTCAGTTACCCAGATATGTTGTGGTTCCTCCTGACAAAAGCTACACAGATCCCCCCAGCCACGGACCTTCCCGAGCCTTGAGCAACTTTCCCAGAAGTCCAACACAGCTCCTGGGCTTGAGCCACTGCTCTCTGCGGGTCAGCCTTCCCTCAGGTGTACAGAGGTGACCCCCAAAGGCTTTTCCCATCAGCCATACCCCATAGAAAATGTCCCTCCAACCCCACAGCTGCTCCCAAAGAGGCTGCAGCAATTCCTCCTCCTGTTCCATCACAGCCTGCAAAGGCACACCCACACAGCCCCATCCTCTGCTCAACACCAGCCCTTGATCCTCCAGGATTCATCTCTAAATCTTAGGGCTCACGAGGAACTATTTTCCTGTAATTATTTTCCTGTAGAAGCCAAATCTATTTATTACAACGACTTTGTTTGCAATATCCAAAGCATCAACTATATGATGCTGCTGCTGCTGCTCCCAATTATTGCCTCCCATTAGTGGGAACTCTATGACAATGTTATTGCCATTAATAATTCTTTGCTGTCATTGAAGCTCCTTGACAATGCTGAGAGTGAACACAGGAGACCCAGAGCCACTTTCTGGTTTGTATCATTTCTTTTACAGGAGAAAAGCAGATTATTACACGCTTGGGAGGAGCTCTTCATAAACATCTGCCAAGTTACCTCATTATCTTCCTTCAAATCCCTCCTTAAAAAATCTCATTTGTCGTGATGCCTGCAAAGACTCACCAGCAGAGCACTGACATTATTAACTAACCCTACCAGCTAAAAACATCACCTCCCTCCCCACGCCCTCTCTCCTTGTATTCCATCCCAATGTTTTTGAGGACAGAACCACCTTGGGGTTGTACAAGCTTCAGCACAGCCCTGGCTGGACCCTGGAAGCTCATGATCCTGAGGCAACCTCTTGGTGGGATGCAGCAGGCACACTGCCTGCTGTGCAAGGAGATTTGGGATTTTCCCATCTTCTGCCCACCAGTCTGGGTCATTGCCCTGCATCCCCCTCCCTCGCTATGGGGGTGCTACAGGGCACTCCAGCACAGCCCTGGAGGTGTCCCAGGCCAGGCTGGACAGGGCTTGGAGCAACCTGGGCTACTGGAAGGTGTCCCTGCCCGGGGCAGCTCTAAGGTCCCATCCAACCCAAACCCTTCTGGGATTCTGTGAGATCCCAGAGCTGGAAGTGCTTGAACACACCACAGGCTTTGGCCACTTGTTTGTCTGCCCTGGAACACCCCACCACCATCCAGCCCCACCACTGGGCCCCACCAGCACTGTCCCAGCCCCCTCAGCACCCCCAGGGAAGGTGGTGCCTTGCAGGCTCAGCAGCAGATGAGGATTTGTCACCCTGCAGCCCCAGCCTGTGGGGGAGCTGCTTTCTGAAGGGATTTATTTTGTTGTCCTGGGCCTTCCAGAGCTCTGGCCTCACCATCACCCCCAGTGCCTCACACTGAGGGATTGGAAGAGGCTGTTCAGAAACACATTTCTTTGTGCATGGCCCTGGCAGGAGAAGCTCAGCAATTACTCCAACGGGTTCTCTTTTAAAGAGCTTTCTTCTCTTCCCCCATTGACAGGGTAAAATTTGGAGAAGGAGCAGCTCATTTTGATATTTCAAGTACCTCTAACGGTACTTCAAGTACCGGGTAACGTCAGATATTCCAGTGACTGATCACCTCCACTTCCCCTTCTCTCTCCAAACAGTTCCAGCTCTGAAATCCCACAGCTTCACTGGTGGACACCATCCAAGCTTTGCACTGGAGCTGCTGTGATTTCCACCAGCTGAGGAGCTGCCCTCCTGTTTCTTTTACTGGTAATTATAATTCATCAGCTCTCTGTGGTGCTCATTACTGTGGGATTTGAGTGCCTATTTTTCCAGGCTTGAATAGCTCGTTCTGTACCATCTCTTCTCACACAGAGTGTCTCAGAATCCTCTGGAAATGAGTTCTCCACGTCCTGCACCCTCCCTGCTCTCCCCTCTGATCCCAGCATCGCGTTTATTATTTTTTTAATAATATTAAAAGCATGCAGCACAACTGATGAAGGCAGTTGAAGAAGGCAGTAACCAAAAACCTTCTTCATGAAGATTTTAACTATCCTAATGTCCTAATTCCACTATCCAACTGTATGTTGGAAGAAAAAAATGTCTTGGAAGAATCTGAGTCTGAAGGTGCTTCCCCTCCTGCAGTTCTGTGGCATCAAAAGCAGAAGGGAAGGGCAGGCAACAGCGACCAAGAGAAACTGGAACCAACATGTGTGAGGTGGGAAACCAAACATCCCCCTCCGGGCTTTGTCAGGGCCTGACTCGGGTGGGTTGGGTGGGTTTGTTTCCTCCTCTTCCTCTTCACTTCTCCTTTCCATACCACACCCAAAACATAAGGCAGGAGGGTCTCTGCAGGGTCTCACCATTTACAGACCTGGGATGTTATTTTACAACAGGGAAACTGAGGCACACACAGAGAAGACATCTGTTAACACCACTGCAAGGGGCCAAAGCCCAACAGCTCCTGGCTCCAGGCTGCTGGCCCTCAACTCCACGGGAAATTAAATTTAGAGGAGCATCTCTGCACCAATCAAAGGGTTATTATTAGAAACAAGGACCCCCTGAACGCAGAGCTCCTGGATGCTGCTGACCAGAAAGCTCAGAGGGATCTGTGGTTTCCTTTAGCCTTCCAGGTTTCAGCTGTGCTTTCAAACAACGACTACCTCAGATTTTAAGCGAGGTGTGATCCTGTTCTTTTTGTTTGAGAAGCAAAGAAACCAGTGTGGAGAACAAATCACACCCTGTGCCTCCCAGCACTGTCACCGTGCCCAAAATTAGGATGTACCAACAATTTTATCCCACTACAGAGACAGAGCAGCAGGACTCTACTGGTGGAGAGGGTCCCCTGGTGTGGTGTAGGAGCCCACAGCCTGTGGGTCCCTGCCACCAGGAACCTACTTTTCAGGACACCACAATAATGACCTGCACTGTGTCTGCTCTCTGCACAGAGCCCCCAGCCCCTCACTGCTCCTCACCAGTCCCACTGTGACAAGGGAGGTCCAGACACAGCCCAGCACCTCTGCCCTGCATGACCCAAGCTTCGGGGGCTTCCTCATGGCCACTCCTGGACGTATCTGGACACCATGGACACCCACAGCAGGGCTGGGGACTCTCAGCTTGGCAAGAGTCTTCACAGAATCCCAGGATGTGCTGAGCTGGGAGGGACCCCCAAGGATCAGGGAGTCCAACCCTGAGCCCTGCACAGGCCCAGCCCCAAGAGTCACCCCCTGTGCCCCAGAGGATCAGCCAAACCCTCCCTGAGCTCTGGCAGCCTTGGGGCTGTGCCCACTGCCCTGGGGAGCCTGGGCAGTGCCCAACCAGCCTCTGGGGGAAGAACAACTCCTCCATGAGATTTTAAGAAATTAAACACCCTCCTGGTGTTCTGGAGCTGGGAGATGCTGCTCACCTTCATCACTGTTGTCATCCACCAGGATGATCTCCTTGAGCAGGTGAGCCGGGGTGTGGTTGACGGCGCTGTGCACGGAGCGCAGGATCACCGACAGCGCCTCGTTCACAAAGATGAAGATGATGGAGATCTGGGGCAGGTCCTTGCCATATTTCAGCTCTTTGCACCTGGAACACAAAGGGCAGAGAGAGAGGCAGAGGGGTTAGCAGAGCTCACAGTGCAGAACTTCGAGGTGGGCACGTCTTTCATATGTGGTGCAAGACAACGGCTTCCATCTCCCAGCTCTGCACAGCCAGGGGTTCCAGCTGTGCACAGCCAGGGGTTCCAGCTGTGCACAGCCAGGGGCTCCAGCTCTGCACAGCCAGGGGTTCCAGCTGCCTGGAGATCCATTCCTTTAAGCAATGCTATCTGGGAAGACATAGCAACAAAGAGTATCCACCAGGATGAGGGAGCACCCAGGGCAGGGTGCAAATGCAGAGTTCATTTAACTGAGGTTGTGTTGGTGTGTCTGCGCTCACAGGACTGTGGGAATGTAACAAAGAGTGGCCTCCAGAAGACAGAAAATGGCTTTAGTAGTTGGAGTGGAACTCCACCTTTCCAGCTCTGTCCCAAGATTAATTGGTGCTTAGAAATGAGCCTTGCTCTTAAACGGCACTTATGAATTTTCTCCCCATTTGCTTTGGGAAGAAATGAATATAAAATGACCCTTGGCTAAATAGTCTTAATAAATGTTTCAGCTCTCTTAGCAGATACTTCTGAAGTACATCCCCATGAACTGGTGTCTTTGTACTTCACAGGCAGGGTGGTTAAAACCAAACACTTGTGATCACCTCCCTGGGTTTCAGGAGGAGTTGCTTAACTTGGGCAGGTTTGGTGGCCGAGTCTCAGCTCAGACACATTTCTGTGCATCAGAGGAACCTGCTCAGACGTGTTTCTGTGCATCCTTCCTCCTGGGAAGGAGCCAGGGACACCCCTGGAGCAGAACTTGGGCAGCTCCAAGTATAAGAGTCCAGGTACCCCCAGCTCTGCAGGGAGCACACACCACTCCAACAAGATAGAGATGTTTCAGTGCCACACTTCATCCTAATCAGAGACCTCATCCCTCTGTTTGCACAAAGCAAACACGAGATCTTTAACGACTTCCAACGATTTAATTAAGCTCTCCAGCTTTCCCTACAGTAAGTAAGTGTGAGGGAAGAAAAGAAGGAGCCTCCCTGCTCCCTCCCTGCATCCATGACAGATTAGACATCCAACATGAGCAGAGTTCCCAGAATTACAAGGAGTGAATCCTGCCCAGATAAGCAAAGAAAGACCAAATGTACCAGTGACATCCCAGTGTTGCTTCAAGCTCCTCGACTCCCCAATAATACCTCTGGATTTAATTGTGCTGAGTGTTTCTTAGGCAACAGCAGGAATTCTTCAGGCTCCAAAATGAGACTTGGGAGACAAAGATTTGCACAGAAACACAGTTCTTTATGAATCTTCTGCAGTTAAACAAGTTTGATGGTTGAAAAGGAGGTTGTATTTCTTGATTTAACTGTTGCCTGACCCAAGGCAAGCCAAGAGCTCTGCAGAATGGGATGTGCCAGATGCTGAAAGGAGCTTCCAAAGGGAAGATCTTTAAAATGAATCAATGGTCGTGAAGGGGCAAAGTGACAACTGACCCTGAAATCCTGCCCCAGAAGTCAAACTGAGCTGACTCTGAGATTAAAAAAACTCCTTTTGGTTATGTTGGTACCTGCAGTGCTGAGGAGAAGGTTGTCACAGGAGCAGGAGTGTTTCCTTTTAATCATTGCTCACCTCTGGGCAGCCCTTCCCCCGAGGCAGCTTGGGGGGATAAAGAGCTCAG